AGTCCGTTGTGATGTCCGTGTGGCTTAAGATGAAATCGGAAGTAGAGAGTACGTATGTGCTGTCAATAGTTGGTTGTATTAGGTCGGTTATTAAAGTTTTGTTGTTGACGTAACATTAGCTGCTGTGATGTTGTTAGTCTTAACATTTTAGGTTGAAAAGATTGTATATTAATATTATAATTTAACAATAAGGTGTCAGCAGGGGTTCCTCAAGGATCACTCCTTTACTTTACATTATCTATACGCATGACATGCCTACCACCTCCGAAACATTGACTGTTGCTTACGCTGACGATACAACAATTTTAACAAAACACCATAACCCCAGACTAGCCTCACTGAATTTACAAAATCATTTACTAAATTTACAAAATTGGTACAAATCATAACATATAACATTTACACTTCGACGAGACACATTTCCACCAGTTTATATCGGCGACAACCAAATTCCTCAGACTGACACTGTACATTATCTCGGCCTATTATTCGACAGAAGGATGACCTGGGGCCCACATGTCAAAATGAAACGAAAGATTTTAAAATGAGACTGAAAATACTAAACTCCCTTTTTTCCAAATCAAAATTGACAAAAACTAAATACACACACTTACCTACTCAAACCCATATGGACATACGCCTCACAAATTTACGGTTCTGCAAAAAAGACGCACTTACAAAAACTACAATCATTTCAATCCAAAATTTTAAGACTAATAACAGCAGCTCCCTGGTACGTAAACAACAAAACTTTACATACCGACTTACAACAACCAACTATTGACCAACACATACGTACTCTCTACTCCCAATTTCATCCTAAACTACATGGACACCACACCAACGGACTTATCAACGGCATGGCTACAGCTGATATGCCCGTCACGAGACGACTAAAGAGGAGCTGGATGAGAGATCTCCTTTCTTAAATTATGAAGTAGACCAAGACCAGGAAGAGGTACTGCTTGGTACTAATCTTCCTCATGCCTATTTTCTATACAATGATATCACATCTGCTTATTGTTAAAACTATGACAGGTGTGGATGGAAGAATGAAGACAGAAAAAAAAAACAATAAATATTTCCTGAGTTTATCACAACACTAATGGTTTCTTATGAATAAATGGATACTTTCGTGTTCCATACACACGCGAAAGATACGAACTACAAGGATGTTAAACATGGCCAAAGGTTATAGTATGGACGGGCCATCATTAAAATGTTAATTCACTGAACCGTTGGCAATTGTAGCCCGTGTAAATCTAATTTGTCTCGGCTGGTGCAGTAATTGAGGGGTTCATCAGAGCGTCATTTGTCCCGCGAGGGTGTTGTCTGCAGCGAGGAGGGGCCAAAAATCGAGTTAACGCTCCCGACAAAGACTTCCCGTGTCTTTCCGTCACTCGTTACCGCCGCTTTTTTACTCCTCATCGGTTTTTAACGTCACTGATTTCGGAATAGGATTAGACTGTCATTCATACCGATTTGCACATCTGTCTTGTATTTTCTAGTGTTACGGATCACAAACTAAATGCTATTTTAAGTATTAAGTGAATCATTTGTTATTCGAATCTAAATTAAAACAAGTATTTGCGTTTAATAATAATGTTAATGAGCCTATAAAGATATCACTAATATACGAATGAGTGTGAATGCTAATTACTAAGGAGCATAATATCTGATTCACATAAATAAATTTCGATGTACGTCAATGATATAACTCTAAATATTCTCCTCATTCCGATTAAAATGATTTTACATTATTGCCCAAATTTGAAAATATAAAGACTATCAAACAATAATGTGCACCATTCTAAATCCAAATATAAGTGGATCACTTGATTCAATATGAAAAAAAAATCATTAAGTTCACCCATGTTTCGAATATTAGTAACATAATTTTTTTTTAAATCAAAAATGGCAACAGCCTCCATTATTTTTTTATAAATCTTGTACATACATTATTTTACTATACACTATTTAGAATATTCTAATATTAGTTAATATTATAACAATAATATTTTTACATAGATTTTTAAATTTTCTTGTTTTAGTTTACAACCGGTACTAGAAAAAAATAAATCATCCAATTTTCTTGTAGAGACTTTGGCCTCCTCAGCTAAAAGTAAACAAAAATAATTAAAAAAATATATATATAAATAATAAATGAATTTTTTTTTCCGTGTTGTAATGATTGATCCAAAACATATGTACAGCCTATATACATCAATGCACTCTGCTGGTCCTCAATTCTTCATCCAAAAATATTTTATTAAGCCTAGAAAAGCAAGAAATCATGAAATAGTCAAAAACCACAGCGCGTTCTAAATGATTATATTATTTTCTAATTAAATAAATTTTTAGATATATAAAATAATAGTTGAAGATTATATAAACAGATCCTATAGATTTATAAATATTTACTTGTAGAAGTAATTCATTATAAAAAAACTCAACTTTATAGCACCATTTATGCTAATTTTAACTAGTAAAAAACAAATAAATTAAAAAATAACTTGAAAATGTTTTTTTCAACATTTTTTCTCTTCTATTCTGGTATCACATCGTTCCAGTTTTAATTTATTTCCACACAGTTCTAAGCTTCGTTTCAAATGTGATATTTTTATTTGATTTACTTTTTACCAAAATTTAATTTTAGGAACTATCATTGACTTCTATAAACCACATGTTCGTCTTTAATACTTCAATATAAACTTTAAATAGGCTAGAAGCCTCTAAGGTTTGATTTTCTTTAAATGTTCGCGATTCAGTGAAACAAATTTCATGAAACATCTTCATACCGACATATGAATATAATAAAAAAACAAAAACAGTACAAATAGAACCCATAAAGGACCACAAGGTTTTCCCCCTTAATCAATTATTTTAATTAAGAGTACCCACTTTATAGAGGATGGGTGTGCCCCATGAGTGTCTCCTTATCAGCCCTCATATAAGGAGACACTCATATAAGGAGACACTCATCAATCAGCTGGACTCGAACCCAGAACCTAGAGCTCGGCGGCCCACCGCCTAAACTCACTAAACCATCCCATTCCCTGCATTCCTCCATGAATATAATGTACAAAAAAAATAATAGTCTATGACGAATCCGTGATGAAGGTAATGGTGAAGATTCTTGTCACCAATCTACGAGTACAAGTCTTTCTTACTTGAAAACTATAATAATAGTCCTTTCAAGAGAAAATGTATCATGTCAGACCAAACTTTGTAGCGTTTTTTTTCAGGATAAAACAATTTAAATTGAACATATTCATTCAACAGTTACATTCTTGCTCGTTAAGAAGAATAGATGATCACAAGAAGCTAAAAAGATTTTTTTTTAATTTCATTTCATCAATCGGTATTTTCTAGACCGAATTTTTATTGCGTTTATATATTTATACGTATATATTTGTGGCATCTGTGGAAAGTGTATGAAATACAATTTCATTAATTTATATGGTTATCATTAGAAAGCTAATTTTTATCTCTTTGATTGTATCTAATGGACTAAGTTATGCGACAATTACAGATATGGACATTCCATTGTGAATCATGGTTTTAGACTCCAAAATCGAACTTGCATCTGTGTAAATTTCAAACTTCCAATTGTACTTTCCGGAAAATATGATTTTTGCAATTAACACACTATAGGTGACACAGATATAAAGGAACGATAGAAGATAGTTCAAGCGATAGTTTTTAGACAATGCAATAAATTCAATGACATTTAATTAAATTCTGATATAAATCTAACTAACTATTGAACATAAAGACACGAATGTATTTTGAGTTCGTTCCTTGCATCCGTGACACGTAATACAAGCCTAATAAGAGGATCGAATTGCTGAGGAATCGATATTCATCCAGGCTAATTGAATAAGGCCGTATATCAGAGAGTAATGCGATATTCCAACTTATTAAATTGTGATTTATGATTCTTTTCTTCCCTTCCACTCCTCCCACATGTTCAAGCGAAACCGTATTCGGGAATAAGCCGTTTAGGTATGATGAACAACTGTCTACGACATTTTACAAAATTATATAAAATATGATGCGATGAGAGGAAAATTAGTAATTTAAATTAGTTCAGGACTTTCTCTAACTTTCGACAACTTGGTCCTAAAAGCACGTATTCCCATTAAGCTTGATGTATTACCATGAGCTCTTTGCAAGACCAGGATCGCCTAACTGTTGCAAGACCAAGATCAAGAATGATAAAAAAAAAAATCGATTTTTTAAATCAAAATTGAGGCAAAATAGCTACTAATACCTAAAAATTTTAGTTACTGCATGTAAAGAATTGGTATAACCAATATACTTTTGCATTTAACTCTTCTATTTTTTCTTAATATCTCAATAGTAATGAGCTATTAGGAAACTGCAAGACTGTAGCGAGACTCATGGGCAAGACCAAGGCTAAGTACACAAGACCAAGACTTGTCTTGGTTTGACTGCTTTTCACATAAGTATAAGGGATGTCGTTCACATATATCACACAGAATATTGTTTGTATTCTAACATTAAATCGAAAAAATATGTATGCCGGACAATGCACAGTACACCGAACAAATTCATGGAGGAGGGTGTTCGGATTACTGACAAGTTTGAAATATAGAGGGTGTTCTTTAAACTAATTACAATTTAATAATATAATTAAGTAAATTCACAAACCTTTAGTAACTGGATATTAATTATTAATTAATAATTGAAAATATTAAAGTTTACACATTTTAATTAATCATTTTTAATCATTGTTTGTTTTAGAGAACACAGTTAACTCTTTTTTTTGGAGATAGGATATCTTTCCTCACAGCGTCTTGTCTTGAGCGTTGTATGAGAACGATTTGTTGCTACCGTACATTGTTCTCGGTATCCCTTCAATTAAGTGGCACGGAACACTCCATCCATTATGCTTTACTTAAACAATATCATTCTACTTTTAAAAAATAGAATTCTGCATAACGAAAAAAATAGTATTCTCGCATAATAACTGTGCTATGGGTTCGGTTTTGAATTTGGACAAGAGCTATGAAAATACCAAGAAATTTGTAAGGCAATTTTTTTTAATTTTATAAAGTTAGAATCTCTGGAGTTTTCGGACTATCGGAGTTCGGATTACTGAGATTACACTATAATATATACGTATGCATTTTAATATCATTTTCGTCAAACATTTTTAATAAATTTACTTCATTTCACTTATATTATTTACATGTTATCTTGTGTTCCAGGTCGTTATCTCGACGATGGTATCCGTCGAGGGTCCACTCCTTGCCATCTCGGACAACATGTTCGTCCACAACAATTCCAAACACGGAAGGAGGGCGAAAAGGATAGACCCTTCGGAAGGTGAATCAGGTGATTTATCGCCTCATTTAATATTATAAAATAAGATATGTAATACAACATTCTAAGAGTTTTTTCATGTAGTCAATCTCTGGGCTTCAGATGGTCGACGCCACATTAATGTTATGATACAATTAAATTAAATATTTAATAATTGTGGCCGTAAATTTATAAGTAAAATATTCTTTTTCTAATGAGAAAAAAAAATCATCTTTCTTAGAAAAACAAAATACTAATCAAGTCTTTCTGAAAGCTAACAAATGCCTCAGTCAATAAGAACAGTCAATAATTTATTATTTTCACATAGATAACCCACATTTTTTTCCGTCTAAAACACATCTATATATATATATATATATATATATATATATATATATATATATATATTCACAATTCACTAAGATTATACAATTTTACATTATAATTATAATATCATTTTAATAATAAATATCAGATTGTAATGTTCTCGAGTTCCGAGAATCATTTTGATATAATCTGTGATCTTGGTGCTAAATCTTAAAAAAAATATTTTGGACCTAGCAGTCAATTAAAAATTGAAATATCAATACGGACGTTAACGAATGGTCGGATAGTAATAGCGAGATCCGAGATTCCTCCGGGGCTTTGGTTTTAAAAGCGGGGCAGTGGGGATCTATATCCTGTCCGAAGCCATGAAGTTTAGCTCTGAAACCCCCATGCCCCGTGAGAAATTGTGAAACCCAATAGTCCGGGAGGACCCATTTCGCCTGTAACCGAGATTCAACGGTGGGGAAGTATTTTCTTAAGGTAATGCCTTTCGGAGTCGTCACCCACCGTCTGCTCCAATCTTCAATTGTTTCCTCCCCGATAATCTTTTTCCATTTATTTGGGTTCTCAATAATCCTCATCCGTAGGTTCTCCGACAGACCTGTTGAGCCCTCCCTCTTGTAATCGTACCTGATCACTTCTTCTCGAAGCAAGAGGTCGAGAGGCACCACCCCCGCTAAGACCTGCACTGCTTCATGCGACGTAGACCTATATGCTCTGGTGACCCGAAGCAGAGCAGTCCTCTAAGTCGATGCTAGTTTATTTCTTTGTCTGAGTGTGAGGTTTCGGAACCAGAAGGGAGACGCATACCTAAGGATACCCTCCACAACACCCTAACCTGCGACTTGGTTTATAAAAATATTAGGTTGGCAAAAAAGTCTTTTCGGTCTTTCTGTTTATTTTTATGTCACTATGGTACACTTCTTATCTGATGAATTAATTCCTAACGTGGATTGTTTATCCTGTTTGTAATATGTCAATAACTATATCTGTTAACTCTTTTTGAAACTAGCTCATTGTGTTTGCTATTGCACTGTGAATATGGAAGAAAATATCATTCATTATTGGCATATTTTGTAGTATTATTTTTATAAAGGCAAGTGTGCTGCTGAAGCTCATAGAAAAATTTGCAGTGTTTATGGGGTCATGCCTTAATCGAATGCACCAGTCAAAATTGGTTTGCCAAATTTCATTCAGGAAATTTTGACATCAATGATGCTGAACGGTCTGGTCCCCAAGATGAAACTGAAACGAGCAATGTTAAGAACACTGTTGATCAAAATCCCACCCAATTAGTGCGAGGAACTGCCATGGTCTAAATGTGTCGCTCACAGGCATAGAAAATTGTTTACACAAGCTCGGCTATGTTTCCAGGCTTCATTTTTGGGTCTCTCAAATGATTTTTTTTCGAAAATCACATAAAATGGTATAACTTCAATAAAGTTTTAGTTTATCAGTACAAGAAATTTAGCAGGAATTTAGGCCCACATGAACTACACAAAATGATATCAACAGGACCTTCGTAAACAAACTACAAATTGAGATAAAAAATAAAAACCTATTAGGAGTTTTTATTATGTCGGCATTAAATCAAAAATCCATTCATACGAAGAGAAGAGCAATAATTCAGCTTTCCAACGGATACAGAAACATCAAATTTGCAGAACATCCTGAAGAGTTATGAATGATCGGAAGGGTGTTGTGTTCCACCAAAACGCCAGGCCCCACACCTAATTGGAATTTGGATGGGACGTTTTGTCCTACCGTCCCTATTCACCAGACCTAGCTCCAAGTGACTACCAATTATTCCGGTCTCTGCAGAACTCCGTGAATGGAAAGAAATTCCAAAAGGAAGAGAACATCAAAAAACCACTCGGATCAGTTTTTTAACAATAAACTCCAGACATTCTATGAACATGGCATTATGTAGTTAGAGAAAAGATGGGAAAAAGTCATACTAAATAATGGTCAATATATTGTAGATTAAAATAAATTTTATGTCAATAATACATTGAGTTTTATTTCACCCTACAAAACCGAAAGGACTCATTTGCCAAACCAATAACAAAAAAAATGCTCAGTAGTATTTTTTCGTAGACTCAATATCTGAGTGAGGAGAGTTAATTTTTTCTTTCTTGGTCGATTAAAAATGTTACAAAATAATAACCTAAAATCATTGCATGAGTTTTATAATTTGCAACGATTAAAAAAAAAGTTCTGATCGGTACTATATAGGGGATTGAAACACTACATTGCGTCACTTAAAGGTCTAAGCGATAACCACATGTGAGTCTAAGCAGTAGACACATACTTGTATGTAGCATATTCTGTTGCTGTTTTCATAACTTTCTTCAAGAAGCTAACCTTTTTGATTCTTTCAACCGTCAACTATTTCATACTATTTTTATAGTTAAAATTATAACAAGATATTTCACTTAAGAGCTCAAAATGACCTTCTGGACTTATCAACCATATTTTCCGGTAGTACACAACCCGTGACTTATTTCCGCAGTTCTCGATTGTTGGAGCATGCTAAATGACCAATCACTGAATACTCCACTGAATTATATTTTGACGATCCAATGTTTTATATAATACTTAATCTTTTAAGATGAATATTAGCAATAAAATTTATTGTTTCGGCCAATCAAGGGAAATTATTTAATATTCTATATAATAACTTACAGGCAATAATTTTTTTGCTTTATTAAGCATAGGCATGCATAAATAGAATCTCAGTTGCATTAAATATATAATTAAATGACAATCATGCTATCAGGCCGTGACGTAAACCTACAAGAACATGAGCGCGGTATACAATTGTAAATTATTAACAGTACCTGAGATTATACCTAGGACGGCATGGGAATACAACCTGCGCCGCATTAACAGCGCAGCGCACGTTTGCGGCTGATCAGCTGATTAACCTCAAGTCGCCTCCTTGCATATCGTATAGGTGGCAGAATACGTGCTGATAAGGAGATGTGTCTCAAGGGAGCCTGCCCGAAGGCACTGCCGGTAATTGGCATAATTGCACGTTAATTGTATTCTAAGAACCTTCGGCGGGGGAAGGCTCATCTTTGAGCCAATTGACAGAATAATGGAAGCCGATTTAAAAAATTAATGTACTGACTAGGAATAAAATCAGTACAGTTAATGATATTTTTAATAATAAAAAAATCTTATAAATCTTTCTGTTTAAACTAAATTAAAAATACGCATCTAATGCATTGTGAATGTGCAATCGTGTTACCAATTAACAGTTATTCACTAAACTTTATTACTTTAACTTGAATTTTACTTCTGTTTGATTCTATTTTATTCTTATTATTCACAACCAGAAGATACAATTATATATTTTTTTGAAAACATTAGGTCATGGTCAACAATAAACGTTTTCACATTATGTATTTATTATTTTTTTATTCATTAAAAAAAAAACTTAAACATTGTGTAAATCAACAAACGGATGTAGATAATAATAACACTTTTTATGCTAGCACAATAGACAAAACTAAAATATAATATACCAAAATATGACTAATAAAACAGATAAAACAAGGGATGTCTAATCCCTTCATCCCACTCCTCTATCACATAAATCCTGTCTTGAATGAATGCGTTATAGATGAACAGCACACTAAATTTCTTCTAATAATGAAGTACACATTTTGAGATCAAATAATATTATTTTTCTTAAAAGTTTCACATTGTATTTTAATTATTTATACTTATAAGTTTTAGAAATAAAAACGACGTTCGAAGAAATAAGAGAAGTGTAAACTGACGAATTATATTGTATTATATCATTAATTGTAATGATATATTTTAAAATTTTTTATGAAGCGATGAATGGTAGGTAGGTAATTTTCGCATTAATTTTAAACCAAAATATTCAAAAATTGTTATGGTATATAACATTTTTTTTTTAATAGAATAAGAACTATGTATGTTACTCATTGTTTTTAAAATATTAGGGGTTTTATAATGATATAATTTAAAGTAAAATAATTAAATACATTTTTTTTGCAGAGAAGCCGAAACATTGAATAATAAATTCATTATGTGAAAACGTTTATTATTGGTGACCTTTGGCTTGATACTTTTTAAAAATCTGGTGCGCGCTTATTTTCTGGCAATGTTGGGATATTATACAATTTTTGAAGTACATTTTAAACGGAGCTAAAGCTTAAAGCTTACAGATAACAAATCATTAAGACCATTAAAATTATAAAAATTCTAATTATTATATCGACGGTACGCAATATAAATATAGTTTTATAAACCACATAACTTCAGTACCTGAGCCTTTCAGTTGACAGAATGACTAACTCCAATTTCAATATTTTTCACAAATGTCATATTTCTAGTTCAATGTCATATAGTCATATTCAAAGAAAGTACATCTGAATATTTAACCTATAAATTATTATGGATTGTAGGACTATTAGTTATTAAACTATTATTTTTCATTGTAAAGTTTGTTGTTAAGTAAAATGAAATTACGAGATTTTCATTGCCTGCCATGGACAGGCCAAAAGTTGTCACACTAATTGTTAGTGGATAATGTTGGGATTTCACAAAGGAAAAATTCATCAAATTATTAATTACTAATTTAATTTTCAAAAAGGTTACTTGATGATTTTTTGGAATAAACGCCAATAGATAACTAATTATTTTAATATAATATCATATCTAGAGTTATTAAACTACAGTAAATTTATTTAAGGTTATAAACATATCCATGACATCTTTTTATATTCAACTTCTTCTTTCACACTTCTTCAAGTAAAATTAAATAGTATTTTAAACAATGACATTGGCATGATTCGGTGAATTTTAAATACTTTTTATCTACTTAAAAAAAAAATATTAGTTTACATTTAGTAAGAAAATTTTATCCAAGAAATTATTATTTATATTTTTTCGCCACCCCTCGTTACCTTCTACAAATTTATTTATTTGATATTATTTTTTCTAAAATGCTCCGCTTTCCTAAGATATATTATACACATACTTTCTGACTGTTATTTCCGAAGATTCATTTTCAACCTGGATAAGCATTTTTCTTTTTTTCTCCAGTTTCTAATTATCATATTCTTTCAAATTTCATATTTAGCCATTTTTTTTATAGTTACTGTCAATAAAAGAGAGTTCATTTGTTTAAATAAACCATATTAAAGGTACTTTAGAGGAAGACATATGTGAACATTGGCCATTTAAGCCCTGTAAAGTGACCTCAATGAGGATAAGACCTCAATTATATTAAAGATCTGTTAATTATACAATGATACACTACTTCTGGTTAGTCGATTTTAAGGAAAAAGTTTCTATAACATCTAAGGCATATACCTATCTTAAATACGTAATATCAGTTTCGTATGACTTTTCATTTTTGAGCTAGATTGTTCACATACAACACACACTTACAGACCATTTTGCGGGACTTGGTAATTTGGACTCAGGAGACCTCAAAACATGTATTTCCGTAGAAAACTCAGATTCTAAGTTTTCACGATCGCAATACTTACCCTTATTATATATATTTCAATAATTAGGTAAGTGAAAATAAAAAACATAAACAAATGGCACCGAACCTAAAAAATATTACAAGATATAATTACATATAATCTTAATTAACGGCGTTGATAACCAACAGGTTTTATTATACATCAACCAAGCAACCAACAGTTATTCAGTTTTTTATAACGGAAAACCGCATCAAATTTTCTGCAAGTAAAAATTTTAAAAAAGGACTTCTAAAGGAGGGAAACCGACCGTTGAGATAAAACAAACTTTCAGAAAATGCAGTCGAAAACAGAAAAGTGAGGGATAAAGAAGTTAGAATAAGTTCAACCGGCGTTGAGGAGTTCTCTAAACAGATTAAACCTTTACAGCTAGAATGAGATTTAGTATTTGACGACTATTGTGGTTGCCCCTTTACCCTCGTAGAATGGATAACCTTTATAATACATTTAGCTCAAAATAAATTATAAAGTGAAAATAAAAATCAAGGGTAGTTCGATGAATTTTGCAAGAACTTTTAAGAAAACATTCACTCTAGAGAAGTAATTAGCGTTAGGACCGCGAACTAAAAGCAACGTTTTGCATACTGAGAGAGAGAGAGAGAGACTTATGGCAAGAATTGGGTGTACTCAGCCTCATAAGTATAATCACTGAAATAAAGAAAGAATGCTCAATTAAAAAAAAACGAGATAAATGTAGCTAAAAATCATGCGCGGACAATTACAATTCAGGCCTTATATTGTTATCACGGTACAAACCATCACACTCATGTGCCTATCACGGAAACGTGGCAATACGGGCTTAATTTATTTAATAATGAAAGAAGAGATTTATGAAAACCATGAATGAATCTATACTTTTTATTAATCACCTTCTGTTAAAACAGAGCATAAAAAAAACCTAATATTCAAAGTCTAAAATGCCTATCACAAATGAAATGTGGCGCAAAGGAACTGGCATAATACCAATATGCTAATATCTCTGGAATTAGAATATTTTATAAAATAAATTTTATTTTTTAGTCATTTCCTCTTATGTATTTCAAATACGATGTGATATTGCTGTAGGAACCACTAACGTATCCAGGATTTACTTTTGGGGGAAAGCGGGTTTCAGTCCGAAAGATTTTTTTTTTTTTTTTGTATAAATATATAATGATTTCGGTAGATAATGATTATAGAAATAGATAATGACTTCGGAAGAAAGAAATAAACTAACTACCTATATAAACTGGTATGTATTTCAAATACGATGCGATATTCTTGTAGGAATCACTAAAAGATCCAGGATTTAATTTTGGGAAGAAACTAACTACCTATAAGAACTGCTCTTTAAGTGATTGTTGAAGTTGTATTAACTGTAATTAGACAAACAATAATACTTTTAAAGATAATTTTTTTTTTTATAAAACATGGTTATATTTTATCCTTTTGTGGAGGGCTTCATCCCGAAACTCCCCCTCCTCCTCGTAGATCCGCCCGTAGTAGGAATGAAATAAAATATTGGACAAATATTACTAAGTAGAAAAAAAATTAAAAATGACACCACTAAAACATTCCTTCAAAAAATAATATTTTTATGAAACTCGATGAAAACGGACTCCTTTCAGCCAATTTGATGGTCTTTCTCTTACACATTGGTGAGGAGGGGAGAGAAGGGAGGGAGGTACAGTTAAACTATCCACTGAGCATCCAGTATTAAAAAAAGGTAACGGGAATGTTTCAATTTACAATAACATTTTTATAGAAGCGTCTCTAAAATCAAATGGGTTGAAAGGATTTATTTTTCATTGAGTTCCATAAAAGCATTCCTTTTTCATGGAACGTTCAAGTCTAGTTAGAGAAAGTATTATCCATACCACCCTTAGTGGCCGTTACGGAATATATAAACGCAGAGTTTATATTTATAGAGGTAATGTCTCCCTAACAGCTTTAAGATACATTGGTAATTTTCTCAAGGAGCTAACTACAGCCATGAAGACAGCAAACGCTCCCAACCGCCGCCATTCCTATTCCACGAGAAGGATTCTAAGTGGCCGCCGCTTTATAAAAAGACACCGAGGAAGACTCTTTTCGGACGAGCCCCTGATTCCGCCCCAAGTAATTTAAACACCCTCCCAAGCCCGGACGAAAAAATCTTCCAACCCGCCTCAATCCCCCGGGAGCCCCTATCGACCCTCCGTTACACCACATATACCTACACGGGGAAGTGAAATAGGGGATCTCACTCTCTCACAGTATTATTTACATTCCCAAAAGCCGGCTTTTTCTCTACAGATCCTTGCGGCTATTTGTTGTATTTCTGTCAACAAATCCGTATATATAATATATACAAACAGACGGAAACTTGTTTTTACAAATATAAATAGCTGAGCACATTTAAATACTAGACCAGTGGTCAGTAAACGCTTAAGACAAAAGATCCAAATGCCAAAATCACAAATATTTTTTCCATTTATTTATTGAAATTTACAATTGTATTAACTAAAAATACACCAACTAATTGTGAACTGGTAATATGAAATGTACAGACTTGAAGATAAACTACCCATATTGTCAGAAATCGAAGAGGATGCATGATTAGAAATAAGAGGGTTTGGAAGAGGCTGAGAGTTATTATGGAAGGACAGGTATCTGAAAGAGGCTAAATCGACAAAATGTGGAACATCAGGGTCATTATGGATAATTTTATTTGTAACAAAGTAAAGAGCATTGAGGATTTTGCAAAAGATTTTAAATCATAAGGGTTGGATAAGAAAGAAAGCCCCAAAGTTCAAGTAAGTCTTATAGTAGTCAAGTAAATGAGTCTTTTATAGTTAATTGGAAATTTAGACCGTTTGTCAATAAGTGTTAAAGTAGTCTAAACGTCTAATTTCTTTCATTTCAGTCTTGTAAGTGGATTCCAAGTGAAACGTTAGTCTAGATGTATTATTAGGCATCATAATAAGTATTATTAAAGAATAATTTACAGCAGGAAGCCATAGGTTTAAGACTCAGGGTAAAGGTAATTTGAGGTATTTTTAGGATCCATTTTAATCCTCTTGCAAAGATTTAAATTAGTTACGAGAGTCAATTATTTTTTCTATTAAAATTAATCGAATAGCCCAGGGATTTGGTATACAGGTGTTTGTTGTGTCACTTCTCATCATGAATATAACAGATCAATTCCTTTGTGAATGCCATTGGATATTTAAATAAGGAAAATTACAGTGATACTTTTGAGTATTTATTACAAATATTCGACGAAAAAGAATCATTTTAAATAATTTATAAAATAATCCGTGTGCATATTAATTAACTGATACGTAATAGCAAAATACATTTTGATATAGACAGAGAGAAACACTTTATTTTCATATAAAATATAAAAGCTTGCTGCCCAATTATATTGGGTTGCTATACACACAGCATACTAGCTAATCCGTAGGACAATGAATAAATTTATATATAAATATACAGAAGTGGTTAGTATATATGAGTATAATATATATAATTCAAAATTCAACAATTTCCGCTTCATTTTTGTCAAAAATGTTATTTTTATTTATTTTTAGAAAACAAAAATATGTTATTAGCTCAGTTTCTTTGTTCGCTTTATGAACAAAACTTTTTTTTCAATAGTTCAAAGGAACTGTTGTTCCTTGATACAAGCAATAAAAGAGATGCGTGTTACATAGCTCTTCGTAAGAGCCATACTGAGGAAGCCAAAGAGCCAATGTTGCTCGCGAGTCGGAGTTTGACGACCACTGTACTATATACTATGACCATGGAATATATACTATAGCTATCAAAAAATTGAGTCAGTGGCTTGACCAACGTTGGATATTTTTCATAATTACTCTGATGGAATATTTTTTGTTGGTAACATCATATAAAAAAATTAAGTTTTAAGTTCTCAAATTAATCTATTGACATTATCTAGCTTTTACTTATCATTACTATTCAATATTACTGCAAGCATGGTTGATCAGAGCAGGAACTGTGGTTTGACATACACAAGTACAGTCAAGGTCGAGAGTGAAGAAATTTTACAAAACCCATACACATCTAAACTATTCATACCTTCTAATTCTTAAAGTAATTATAAATAACCTCCGAAATATGAAATATGATAAATAAATACAAACATAAGTGAAATCGCAAAGTTAAATCATAACGAAGACGAGAATTTCAAGTAGAGAACTGATAAGGGATAGTACAATGGCCGAAGACATCCTCCGTACGGCGAAACAAAACCTTCTTATCCGATCTCACTCCTGCTACAACAGCTTTGTATTATGATAATAGCGCTTAGCCAACAAGGGCGTAATCCACTCAACTACAAAACTTCACGCTTACGTGGATTTCCGCCTTGTATGCGTTTATATTACATTTCTCAACTTGATCGTAAGCAAAATAAATTGCGAAGTATTAAGTGACGATATTAAATATCTGGAGAATTAATTACATTCTATCCATATGAAAGCGTTCTCCTTCAATAACTAATAATTTTTAAATAAATATTATTAAATATGATATACATACATTTTTTTTTTAATGGCAGTAATATTTAAGAATGTTCGAGAAAACTACCTATAATAAAAAATTAAAATTTGTGAATTCTATACAACTTTATTAATTCTGTACCTCGGAAGTAAAGAACACCGTGTCCATTTTTTATTTAATAATTTAGTAACCTAGAAACAAATTTTAAATAATCAATTGCCTCAAAAGTATGGAAAATCGGCTTCCTGAAAAGATCCAAAAATGTGACTGGTGTCGTTTACCTCTGGGGTACAGATTAAGTGACTTTTTTTATTTTTCTTATTCCGTAATGTAACATTCTGTCACACGGACAATAATTATAGCAAGGTAAGAACACATTCATACCAAACATACAGAAAACATAAAATAAACAGAAGCAAGATAAGAACTAACTAATAATCAAAGAGTATATACAATAAATAAAAATAAATAACTTAAAGATAAGTAAATTAAAAAAAAAAAAATGGACAATCACCGATGTTTTTAAGTTAGACCTGGAGAAGGAAGTAAGAATAACATCACAGGAAAATGCAGGGATCCACGTCGGAATGAATCATAAAATTCTTGGATGTGCAGATGATATAGCTACCCTTGGAAGTAATCAAGAACACATTGCTACTAGTAAATGAAGACAAAACAAAATATATGATTATAAGCCAAAAATTCCACCCCAACAACAAGATTTTCGTAGATGAAAAATCATTTCCACAATAAGCTCAATGAATGACCAACGGGCAGAAATAGACCACCGTATAACTAGCACAAACAGAGCTTTCTTCTCTCTCTCTCTCTCAAAAGCATTGAAATCCCGTAAAATCACAAGAAATCTCAAATTAAGGGTGTACAATGTATGATAAATCCAGTTCTAATATATGGACACTAACCAGCACCCTAGAAAAAAGTGTTGAAAGATTTGAGAGGAACATCCTCCGCACGATAACCGGAGCGATCTGAGATCAGAGTAATGACTACATGGAGAAGAAAGACCAATGATGAACTGTTTACAGAAACTGGTCAATGAATATCTCATGATATGAAAGCAATGAGGTAAAGATGGGCGGGGAATGTAGCTCGTAGCAATGCTTCTGGAAGCCTCTACGCAACAATAAATGCTTCAAAGACCACATCGAAGGCTAAAAACCAGATGGATAGATATAATAAACAAAGATGCACTCCCATTCAGGTGCATGCAGATAAATAGAAAAAAAATTGCCAGAGGCAGGCAGAGATGGAGCAGGCTTGTTAAGGTGGCAAATGATCTACATGGTCTGTAATGCCAACAGAAAAAAAAATTAAAAAACACAGACATACGTATAATTTTAACAATATTTTCCCATACTGGTTTTAATACATAAAAAATATGTATTTAGTGACTAAGAAACAAATTTTAATAGCTCAATGTTATGGAATACCGGCTCCCTTAAACAAATAAAAAATGGACATGGTGTTTTTTACTTCCCGGGTACAGAGTTGAAAACATATGAGTTCAATCACTTGAAAACATTGAATGTGTAAGTATAAAAAGATTTTTTTTTTAATTATTGAATTCAGTTAGGCCATAAGCCCTGTAATGTTGGACTTGTAAACTTGGCATATTGTTCGCTGGTTTCCATCCAACAGTTTTGGAAACGAGACACTGTATCTTCACCCCTAATTGTCATTCTGTTTTAATGAATAGAAGTGACTATTATATCGCCCATTCTTATTTTAACCACAGGTAGGATGTGTTCGGTGCGTAAGAAATAATCGGAAATTCGCCAAGGTAGGTAAGCGCCTTTCGAAAGATATTTATTTCTTGTTTTCTGCGCGCCCTATATTTTTTTCGATTTCCGATCCATTTGCATGCTTAGAAAATCTATTGAAAATCTAACATTTGAAAATTTATATTATATCTATATATAACTCCTACGTTAAAGAAGGGAAAGAAAAGTAAATGTTATGTGGGACATCAGGTCTCCTAAAATTAATAAAATTGATCAACAGAAGTGATATTTTTCTTAAACAAAAGGGTAGTAAAAAATAATTGAATTACAGAATTATGTAACCTTAAAATTAAAATAAAGGACAAAGTGAATAAATGAAATTATAGATTAATAAATGTCAGAATATTTACATTGGAATACTATGAGACAGTAAATAGCTTAATAATATAGTTAAGTTAAACATGCGTTCCTTTGTAAATTAATTCAAAGACTTTGGAACGATTAAGAGAACACCTGTGAACAAACATAAAAACCCTGGTGTCATAAATACACGCCCATAATTAGAGAAATGCATACGCAATGGAATAATAAACCAATCTTTCGAAGCAATATAGCAAATAAACGCAACATGCTTGTGGTATGGGGAATTGGACAGCTCCAACTGCCCGGGCTAACTGGCTGATGAAATGAACCTGAATATTTAACAGGCTCACCTTTGGGTCGGATTCCAGTTTTGGAAGTTCGAGTAACGGTTGAAAAATAAATTTTGGTAAACGCGATCTCGGACAGCTTCAATAATTCAGGACTGGGGGTGGGGAATGAAGAAATGCCATCAGTTATTAAAGGGATGTACTACCTTAAACAAGAGGCCTC